CTTTCTTTCTTTCTCTTTCTCTCTCTCTCTCTCTCTCTCTCTCTTCTCTCTCTCTCTCTCTCTTTCCTCTCTTTTCTTATTTCATTTTAGACGGAGTCTCGCTCTGTCACCCAGGCTGGAGTGCAGTGGTGCGACCTCGGCTCACTGCAAGCTCCGACTCCCGGGTTCACGCCATTCTCCTGCCTCAGCCTCCCGAGAAGCTGGGACTATAGGCGCCCGCCACCTCGCCCAGCTAATTTTTTGTATTTTTAGTAGAGACGGGGTTTCACTGTGTTAGCCAGGATAGTCTCGATCTCCTGACCTCGTGATCTGCCCGCCTCGGCCTCCCAAGGCCCTGGGATTACAGGCGTGAGCCACTGCGCCCGGCCCTTTTTCTTTCTTTCTTTAGCCAGGGTCTCACTCTGTTACCCAAGCTGGAGTGCAATGGCACCATCCCGGCTCACTGCGGCCTTGATCTCCTGGGCTCAAGCCATCCTCCTGACTCACTGAGCCTCCCGAGTAGCTGGGACTGCAGATGCATGCCACCACGCATGGCTAATTTTTTTCTTTTTTTTTTTGTTCAGAGACAGGGTTTCGCTATGTTGCCCACGCTGGTCTCGAACTCCTGAGGTCAAGTAATCCGCTCGCCTCGGCCTCCCAAAGTGTTGGGTTACAGGCGTGAACCACTGCACCCGGCCAATTCTTATCTTTCCCTAAGAGGTGCCCCTAGAATTGAGCTTGAAGGCAGAGACCGAGAGTGGGGGTGGCATTCTGGGCAGGGGAAACAGAAGGTGCAAAGGCGCTGCGGCTGAGCGTTATCCCAGAAATGGCAAACACTGCAAAATGGCTCGAACCGGAAAGCCGGAAGAGTTCGGCACCAGAACACACCGGTACAGCACGCAGTTGGCATGTACTGAGGAGCCAACGGGGAATTTTGAGCAGGGGAGAGGGGGTCAGTTGTGGCATCAGGAGGCTTCTCGGGAGGCCGCGGCGTGGACACGCGCTGGGCGAGTGCCGTGGGAGGGGGCCTGGGGACACGGCCGCCGGCTCCTCTCGCCTGCGTAGCACGCGCGAGCTAATCTGCAGCTTTTCAGTTGCCGCGTGAAAAAGCCCTTTGTTCCGCCTTCTTCCCGGGCCTTTGTGTGGCGGCTCCAGGCCTTAAAGGCCCGTGTCCAACACATGTCTCGGGCAGCAGCGGCCCAAAGAGGCCCCGCCAGCTCCGGCCGCCGCTTCCCCATGCTGATAACGCTGATGGGGGCGCCGCGAGGCTGCGCGCGGACAAAGGCCTCGAACGCCAAGCGAGAGCTCATTGTGCGCCAGGACAAAGCAGCCTGGTAAGGAGGGGGCCCTGCGCAGCCACACGGCCCCTCCCACAGGCAGGAGGAAAGGGGCTTTTTTGTAGTCTCCCAGAGTGGGGAGGGGAGGACCCCAGAAGCATTGCCTGCTGGGGGCCCAGAGCCCTGAGATGACCCCTCAGTGAGGCCTTGGCTGCACTGCCAAACCTCTCTGGGCCTCAACTACCCCATCTCTGAAATGGGGCTGTTGACACCCAGTGGAACTTCGTGGCTCTGAAAGCAGTCAGAGCTGGGTTTGAATCCTCTGCCACTGATTCTATCTGTATGACCTTGGGCAAGTCACTCTTTGGCTTCTGTTTACTCACCTGAAAAAGGGGATGACTCCTACTCACCTCACATTGTGGTATTAGAGGAGGGGTGGGGCATACAGGACAGCCCTTATGCTTTTCATGTTTACTGTCCTGGAGGTGAATGCCTATGGCAAACTGTAAAGGGCTGTACCTATGGGTATAGTGGGCATTATAAGCCAATCCCCCGAATCCCCAATTTAATGCTCGATCCTGTTCCTAAGCTGCTAAACCCATATTCTTTTTGCCCCTGGTCACCTTGAGTCCCGTTGGCCTGGGTGAAAGTACGTGGGGAGGTTCAGACCCATGATTATAATTCCTCCCTAGCATGCACTTAACAGTTTGGAGCCTGCTTCTCCCCTGACTATCCCTCCATTCATTCGTTTATGCCCTAAACACTAATTGAGTGCCTTCTCTGTGCTGGTCTGTGCTAGACTCTGGGGATAAAGTGGCAAGTGAGATAGAAGAGGTTTCTGCCAGGCATCTTCTGAGGCTGATGTGGTCTCCATTTTACAGATAAAGACACTGAGGTCCAGAGAGGAAACTTGCCAAGCTTAGAGCTGCCAAGTATGGTTGTGCAGGTTGTGTCATGCACAAAGATACCAGGCCGAAGTGGGGAAGCAGGGGTGAATTCCAGCGAGCCTTCTGCTTGCCCAGCCACGTGTCCTAGACCAGGAAGTATCAAAGGGGGGCCTGTTTCTTATTTATACAAAGGTGACATGAGCTAGTGATGCCGATGCCCTGCTCAAGGGTACACAGCGACTCTGTCACAGAACTGCAAGTTGAAACCAGATCGGGGATTCCCTCCCAGAGTTCTTTTTAGCCTGACTGACAGTCCATCCAAAGTTGAACCAGCCAAAGCCTCGATGCATGAAGCTTCAGGTCCCCTTTGCCCCAGCCTGGCCCTGTCAGATATTTGAGTCCAAAGGAGGTTGAAGGTGGCTCTTGAGCATCAGCTCAGCTGGAAGGAACCTTGGAGACACAGGTGGGAGGATAGAGGCCGGGAGAGGACCAGAGACATGACACAGCCTCAGCTCCTGATCCCTCGTCAGGGCTGGGCAAGAGGCCGGGTTGATGGGAGAATGCCAACTGCCTTCTTGTTGTTTCTCCTCCCTTCTTGGCTCACAGCTCTCTCCTCTCTCTTCCCTCGATGCTGCTGCTGCTTCTCCTCCTCCTCTTCCTCCTCCTTTTCCCTATTTTTCTCTTTTGTTCTTTCCTCGAGGGGAAGGGAGGGGCTGGAATCTAAGTGGAGGCAGCTGTTCCCAAGGCCATAGGGCGGGGGCAGCGGGCACCCGCCATTAACCAGCTAAAGACTTGGGGCTGGGGGTCAGTGCGGCTGGCTGGGCCCAGGTGTTTTTGTTCCAGCTCAGGGAGCCAGAGAGTGAGTGGGAGGGAGGGAAGCAGTGAGGGGTGGGAGGAAGCAGTGTGTGGCAGGGACTGTGGCCTGGCACATGTAGGGGTGGAGGGGTGGGGTGGGGGCGAAGCTTGTGCAGCTCACGTGTAGTGCTCGCATGGGTTGTGTGTTTGGTCTGTGTTGTGGCTGGACAGTGTGTGTCAATATGTGAGTGGTGTTCCTGTGTGTGTGAGATTGTGCATTATATTTGAGCAGCAGCTCAAGAGGCAGCAGCTCAGCCCTGGATCTGGATCCAGGTCTGCGTTGCCCCCAGGCAAGTCACTTCCATCTTTAATTCCTAGCAAAATAGAGATGATAATCCTACTTTGTAAGTTGTCGGGAGAATGAAACGCATGTAAGGTGCCTAGCTGAGTTTCAGAAAATTACTCCATGAATGGGAACTATTGTCACTCTAATTATTATTCAGAGATGTCTGGTGGGGAGTACACAGGAGTCCCCCCAACCCAGTGTGTGGCTTGCATACCTGGGGGCAGGGAGGTATCATGTAGGGACACAGTAGTCTGAGAAGGACAGCTGTGGGTCTAGAAGGTTCTGCTTAAATTTTGCAGTCCTACTTCTCATTTGGTGACAACAACCTGAAGGATAGCAAGGGGAACTAGAACAGGTGAGGCTGGAGGAACAGGGAGAGAATATGAGTTCGTGGCAGCTCATGTGTGTGTACACCCACATGTGCAAGGGAGGCCTGGGAATGGTGCCTAGGGGTGCAGATCTGATGCCCACCTGCCTAGGTTTGAAACCTAGCTGTGTGACCTTGGACAAGTCACCTAATCTCTCTGTTCTTCAGTTTCCTCCTCTTAAAAATGGAGATAGTAGGCCGGGCATGGTGGCTCACACCTGTAATCCCAGCATTTTGGGAGGCTGAGGCGGGAGGATCACGAGGTCAGGAGTTTGAGGCCAGCCTGGCCAACATATTGAAACCCTGTGTCTACTAAAAATACAAAAAATTAGCTGGGTGTGGTGGCACACGCCTGTAATCCCAGCTACTCATGAGACTGAGGCAGGAGAACCGCGTGAACCCGGGAGGCGGAGATTGCAGTGAGCCAAGATCGTGCCACTGCACTCCGGCGCGGGTGATAGTGCGAGACTCCGTTTCAAAAAAAAAGGGGATAGTAATACCTACCTCACAGGCTGGTTGTGAGGTTTGGACAAGTGACTACCAATAAATCACTTAAGATGGTTCTTGGTGTACAGATTAGCTCTTACTTTTATTTGTTGAGCAAGACTTTGTGTCATGAGCTCTTTGAATCCTTTCAGATACTGTCATCACTCTCATTTTACAGAGGAGGAAACTGCGGCTCAGAGAAGCAGCCAGGTATCTTGCCCTGGGTCACACAGGGCTAGTAAGTGGCAGAGCCAAGCTCCCATGTCTGTTCAGAGCCAGACGTCTAAGAGTATCCTCTTAAGGAGCCAGCCAGGTACACCTGCTGGCATTTCCATGTGTTAGCAACAGCACAAAATGCTGCTGTTGTCAAGGTTAGGGTGGAGAAAATGGGGAGGGTGCTGCTTCCTGGCTGGGGGTGCACATGTGGTTTTCCTCTACATAAACATGTGCATATATAATGCATGCAGGCATAATAAATAGAGAAGGCTGCAGGCTTATGCACATACAGGCTTTCTGGTGTGCCTGTGTGTGGGCGCATGAACATACATGCAGCCGACTGAATGATGCAGCTGCCACCCAAGCTGCTTTTGTGTGTGTGTGTGTGTGTGTGTGTGTGTGTGTGTGTTTTGGGGTGTAGTGGGGGAGCCTCTTCCAAAACAAAGCAACCTGCCTCCTGCTCCACTGTCCCAACCAAGGGATTCCTTTCTGCTCACTCCACCCTATCTGTGACTGTTTTCCCCCACTCCCTTTAGGCATATACTGAAAAGCCCACACATGATGCCTGGAAAATTATATGTGGTTAATACTGGTTGCAGAATGAAAGGGAAAAAACGGGTGTGCAGACTACCAAGAAAAATGGTAATGACCATTTCCTGAGGGCCTGCTATATCTAAGCACTTAATCTTTCTTCCAGCCCTGAGAGCACCAGGCACAGAACTTGGTATGTGGTAGACATCTGATATCGATGAATGAGGCACATACTATTATGATGCCTATTTTAGAGATGGGCAAACCGAGGCTCAGAGGAGGTGCCTTGACTTGCCCAAGACTCCACGACTGAGCTGGGATTTGAACCCAGGTCTCCTCTGATTCCAAAGCCCTTGCACTTTCTGCTGCACCACACTGCAGAGTGCTGGGTGGAGAAACGAAGTGTTCGCTTCCTCCGCTGTAGTGTGGACTAGCTGGTTTTGATGTTCAAAGGAAACTCACGATGGGGCTAGGTGGGAACATGGCTGGGCTGATAAATGGTCGGTCTGTCTGCAAACCTGCCTAATTGAGAGGTGGGCCCATCTGAGCACTTTTCTCCCTCCTTCTAAAGCCTTCTAAGGCTTCCCACTGCCTACAGGATAAAGTTCCACTTCTTCATGTGGCATTCAAGGTCCTTCGCAGCCTATCTCCAAGTGCCCTCTTGGCCCTATCATGAGCTTGTCCAGCTGGTCTCCCTGCTCCCAAACTTAACCTCCTGGCTCCATGATTCTGTCCCTGCCACCTCCCCTCCCCATCACTCCAACCTGGGGCACACTCTCCCCATTCCAAGCCTTGTCCCCTTCGTCCCCCTGCAGGGGCCTCTTGGGGCAAACCTCTGTCACTCCCCTTCCTGGTGCATAAACTACTCACCCCTCCTTGGAGCTCCTGAAGCCCCTGCCTCAGTCCAAGCCCACGTGTACCTGGACCTGTCACTGGATTCGTTCACACAGGTCCAGCCTTCCCACTGGCCCATGTCTGAGGCTATCATCTCTGTGGCCAGTGCACAGCGGAGAGCACTGCGCAAGTTTAGGAACCGCAGTAACCACAAGGAGAGTAAGAAGCAGGAGTGAAATGGCAAAAGGCTGGATTCAGGAAGTGGTCAGACATGGGTCAAACCCTGGTGCTTCCCTTTTTGAGCTGGGTGGCCTTGGGAAGTCATTTGCCCTCTCTGACTCTCAGTTTCTTCATCTGTCAAATGAGTGCAATACCCTCTGAAGGGAAATGAAGTAACATGAGGCACCTTCTACTATCTCCAGTGCAAAGGCTCAGAAAAATCTCTCTGTACCATCTGCTTTCCTGTAATTTCCAGTCACTCATTGTGTCCTGCAAACCATGCTAGGCAGAGTCTCCCAGGATGCCACTTCATGTCCTCATTTCCAGGGACGCACCAAGCTTGTTCCTGCCT